TTTTTCTCTGAAATTATAACTTGGGATAAATTGTATAGATTTGTTCCCTAGTTCTTGGTCCCAGACAATTTTTGAGTAGTATATTGTGAGGTTTATTTTGTTTCTAAGGAAGGTCATGGCTTCTAAAGAAGTGTTAGCTAAAAGCTATAATCTCTTAATTGCAGCACCCAGGAAAATCATACTGATGATTTTTCGTGGGAGAGAAGCAAGCAACTGCAATGCCCGTTTCTCTGGGTTTTGTTCTGTTTTGCAAAAGGGGGGGGAAATGGTGTAAGCCTTTGTTTAGGCTTAAGACATCAAAGCACTAATTAATTCTCTAATCTGTCAGAAGGACACCCTCAGCCCACCTACTTCAGCTAGCATTTGCTTAGTAGTTCAAGGCCTTTGTTGCGGAAAATGCAAAGTAATATCACTAATCTATAATGCTGTTACGAACACTCATTTTGATATTTTCTTAGTGGAGGCTGTTGGAATAGAGCATTTTCAACACTCTTCTATGGGCACTACTAATAGTACCAAACAGTGTATTAAAATAAATATTCAGAAAGCAGGCACTGTCATGTAGCAATGTGTTGCAGAAGGTAGTTAGATGAGATGCAAATCCTTTTCATAAACCAGGAGAAAACCCCACAAGAAAGAGGAAAGAACAGGGCATAAAGGGAGAGTCACGTTGGTGTAGCGGTTAAGCTATTGACCTTGAAACCAGAAAACTGAGTTAGATGATGGGGTGAGGTGGGGAGGAGGCCCAATCCCTGTGGGGACCTAGTGGTGGTGGGGAAAAGCCCATGGGGGCATAGTGGGGGTAAGGCTATGGCAGAGGTGGTCTTCAGGTTCTGACCAGTTCTGGAGAACCAGTGGTGGAAATTTTGAGCAGTTCGGAGAACCGGCAAATACTGCCTCTGACTGGCCCCGCCCCCATCTATTCTCCGCCTCCCATTGAGTCCCAGCTGATTGGCTGGGTCTTCTTTAGTTGCCCTGCATAGGAAAACAGAGCTGGAAAGCAGGTTAGTGGGGTGGGGAGGGAATGGGGGTTTTGCAGTAACCTTTCCCTGCCACACCCACCAAGCCACACCCACAGAACCGGTAGTAAAAAAATTGAATCCCACCACTGGGCTATGGGAACCCAATGGGGGAGCGCTAGGCAAGAGGGGTGCTTCAGCATCCCTGTGGTTGGTCATAAGGACGAACAACTGTGAGGGCAGTGGTGTGATTCAACCGGTGTAACTTGATGATCGTGTGCTTCGCGCACGTGCCCACCCTTTAAAAAAAGCCCATCTTCAGCTATAATACTTACCTTCTACTGAAGCCCCGGTGAGTAAAACAGCTGAGGCACAGCAAAAGCACTCTGCCACACAAATCAGCTGTGCTCCAGAACAAGGAAATAAAGCACAGGAAAGAGCAGGGGCGGGTGGGTGGGGCCAAATGCTCACCGGAATTACCGGTTCACTCGAACCAGTCCAAATCAGTAGAATCCCAACCCTGTGTGAGGGGCATTGCAGCGGCCCTAATTTTGGGATCGGGTTGCAAATAGTTTTGGGGGGGCTCCTTCATGTGTTTAAATGGTCAGCAAGTGACCCATCATTAAGTGAAGACTACCTGAAGCTTGTTTGATGTTAACCCCCTGCTTATCTGGCTATTGGTTGCCGGAGAAGATGTGTTCGGGTCTTCTTATTTCCTTCGTAGTGTTTTTATTGTTGAGCCGGGGTGGTGCAGTGGTTAGAGTGCAGTACTGCAGGCTACTTCTGCTGACTGCTGGCTGCCTGCAATTTGGCAGATAGAATCCCACCAGGCTCAAGGTTGATTCAGCCTTCCATCCTTCCGAGGTGGGTAAAATGAGGACCCAGATTGTTGGGGGCAAGAGCCTGACTCTGTAAATTGCTTAGAGAGGGCTGTAAAGTTCTGTAAAATGGTATATAAGTCTAAGTGCTACTGCTATTGTATCTTATGGACGTTGTGTAAATGTGCCTTATCTCTGTGTGTCTATTGACACCAGACAAACAATCAATAATACCTAATGAAGGAACTATCAGGGAGAAAACCCCACCCCACTAACATTGGCAGGGCAAGCTACTGTGTGTGAATAGAGAGCAAGCACCGCACTCATTAGCACTGATTATATCACCTTGTAGGGTAATGAAATGTTTCAGGCAAACAATCATGCTCACCAAGGACTCAATAAAAAATCTGTTCTCTCTTGAGCAGTAAAAGTCGAAAGCTTATCAAAAGTTGCCGTAGGGATTCCTAATTTTTTTTGGCTGGTTTGGGGTCTCTTCTGATTCTCCTGCATTGTTCTGACCAAGGCTTCCTGAGACCGTAATTAAGCACATGCTTAGTCCAAACAACTCTTGTTTTATTTCAATGCTGGGAATTACATTCATTCCCAGCACATAATGAGTCCCAAACAATCTCTAGAGATAAGCACCCACCTTTCTCTCCTTTGAATTGCTGCCAACAACTAAAGTGCCCAATTAGCTGTAAAAAAACAACGAAAGTACAAAGTCCACACAGGCTTCAAGGTTTAATCCGAACAGAGCAAACAATACTGCTTCCTGCAAAGGTTTCTCTACCTTTGCACTTCCTTTATAACTTACGGGAGGGGCCAATCATCTCCAAGCCTTACTCCTGAGTCTTAGCTCCTCTTGCCTTCTGGCAGCTCTGCGCACATGCGCACTGGGAACAGGCTCCACTCGTTCCTCTGCCTTACTGCTGTCATATTCTGGAGGCTCTGGAGTCAGCACATAACTCCCAGATGGCCCTGGCCCCATCTCTGTATCGGATGCAGGACCCTCGTCCAAGTCCTCCCCAGACTCCCGGACTGGCCTATGTTCCTCCCCATTGTCCCACTCTGCCGCCATTTTCGCAGGGTGCCGGCGGACCACAACATGCATGTCAAATCCTGGCCCTCAGCTACCTGGTATCCTGTCAGGAAAGGAACCATCTATGGCTAACCACTCTGGAATACAGAGAAGGAATAAGAATAGAAAAGGCCAGTTCTTCACAAGGGCTGTAAATATATGGTGTTGATTTTTTTTTTTTTTGAGAAAGTGGGTTTCCAGTCCCCTAATCATCTTTGTTGCTGTTCTCTGCACTCTTCCTAGAGTCTCAACATCTGTTTTACATTGTGGCAATCAAAGGGTTCCAGGGTCATATGACCTCCCTCCCTGTCTCCTCATTGCTTTATCAGTGATGTGTTTAAGTTTGAGCCACTGAGAAATTTAGGTATTTTGTGACATATGACTCATCCACATAGTGGTGCAGATAGTGTCATAACAGGGAGTTACCGGGATATCCATGTCCCACTACGGCTCTGCTAGTTTCATTAGTTCCCACTATGCTTCTGGGTGGTATTGATGGACCTGTTGTCCTCCATGAGATGGCATTCGGTTATTTACAGGCTCGCCTCCCCCTGGTTCTTTCTACTAGTCCCACTAGATCCAATGGGAGACACGCTCTGGATCCCTTCAATGAAAAAATGTCATTGTATGGGGCTCTGGAAGGGAGCCTTTCCTGTCACAGCTCCTTCCTTCTGGAACACCATACCTTCTGAAATGAGATCTGAAGACAGGATCTGTCCGGAGATGGGAAGGCTCTTTGGCCTCTTTGTCAACTATTTTATCTGGCTCTATTCTCGGTGAGCAGCAGAGGATTTCCCCCCCCTCTTTTGCTAATATTGGTTTTGCAATAGTGGTGAATATAATATCGTGCTTCCCCCAAAATAAGACCAGGTCTTATATTAATATTTGCTCCCCAAAAAATCATTGGGTCTTATTTTTCCAGGTCTTATTTTCAGGGGAAATGCAGTACTAAATGTGTCTGTCTGTCTGACGATCTTAACTGGGGCTTATTTTAGGGGGTAGGGCTTATATTACAAGCATCCTGAAAATCATACTAGGGCTTATTTTCAGGTTGGGTCTTTTTGGGAAACCCAGTAGAACGAACCTTCACCCTCAATATTGGTTTATTGTTACGATCCTTTAGTATTTTATTTGTTGATCAAAATATAAAATGTAGAAGTGCAAAGAAAAAAGAAAATAAGAGAGGAAAAGAGGAACAGAGAAAAATGTAGGGGAAAGGAGAAATAAAAGTATTAACCCAACTCCTTTTGGTGCAGTAACATAAAATCTCAACTTTTTATTTTTACATAATATATACTGGCCACTTCTGCAACAACAAACCTATCAAATCAGCAAAATGCAAAATCAAAGTTTTGTTTTCTTTCCACCTCAAGCACGAAGTCCAAAAGCAGTTTCCAAGTAGAAACAAAATTTAATTATGCTCTTTTCTTTAATCAAAGCGGTCAATTCTGAGATGCTAACTCATCTCTGCTAGTTCCATCAACTTTTGCAGCCATTCATCTACTGCAGGAATCAAAGTTTCCTTCTATTTTTGTGCGCAGAACATTCTTGCTGCTGTCAGCCTATGTAACCATGATGGCAAACCTATGGCATGCATGCAGGAAGTGACATGTAGAGCCATTCCTGCCGGCACACGAGCAGTCTCCTAGAACTGATCCACTGTGCATGCGCGTGCGCCTCCTACCAGCCACCTGATTGTTGGGTATCTGCCACGCATACCTGGGGGGGGGGGCGGAACGCACACAGCGGGAGTCATGTGTGCATGCGCAGAGGTACACAGCGCATGGGGGCATCATGTGTGCATGTGCAGGGGAGCTGGGGGTGTCATGCATGCACTGCATTATGGGTACAGGCATGTGTGCACACTTTTGGCACGCGACGATGAAAAGGTTAGCCATCACTGCTATATAACATCAAAAGTATGGTTTTATGTTTCAACATGTGGTAGCCGTCTTGAGTCACATTCGCAAGATGGCTGGCTGTATAAATTGATTAAATACATCAATAAATGAAAAAGATTTGGCTGTTCTGAGTCCAAAGGAAGGCTGGGCGAATTGTTCTTTTGAAAATGAGGGTTGCTTTTGTTTTGTTTTTAAATAAAAAAATACTGCAGGATATTAAAATATATATTTTTTCTCCTTTCAGTGACTATTTCAACAAGCACCTTTTTTGATGGCATATTGGTCACAGGACTTTATACATCTACCAGTGTTCAAATTTCGCAAGGCATTGGTGGGTCCAGTGCATTTGGATTCGGTAAGTCTAGTCTTTTTTCTTGGAATGAGTTTTACAAGTATGATCTAACAATACTCATTTTTGTTCATTTTATTTTAGAGAATTTCCACTTTTACTAAACACAGGTGGAGGAGTAATTCTCTGTATAGAACGCTGTCTGGGTTGCAGCAATTCAGACAACCACTAGGTGGCAGCCAAGAGATGATGAAAACTCTCTTTGCTGCCATCTAATGGTTGGCAGATTTTATAAACCCGCTCCTATGCAGCTACTCTTGTCAATCGAAAACTCATCCTAAAGCCTATTTAGCATTGGAGTCATGTCCCTGAAATGTTCATTATATGTCAAAAAAATTAAGATGGCAAACAGCATTTAAATCACAGCCCAATGGGGGATTAAGGAAACAAGTTGTCCATTGCTTTTGTAATTTAAGCAGGCAGGGGTTAATGAGCAATGCAAACCTACCGTGTTTCTCCAACAATACGGCCTCCACCAATAGGAAGGCCCAGCATGATTTCTAGGCATGAGGTGAAATTAAGCCCTGCCCTCAAAATTTAGGCCTATTTAAACCATGCATTTCCCCGCCATTTCTCACATCGTTCGTTAGAACTACACGAGGTGAAGAGAAATGGGGGGTAAAGGTGGGGTGGGTGGGGAGAAAACTTGCCTTTAGGAGTGCCCTGCAGGTAGCCTAGCCTAGAATACCCCGATCTACTACCGATAGAACATCAGCCGAGAGAAGCTCCCTGAAGGCAGAGTCACCAGCTGCTTCGATCGGCCAGTAGATGCAGCCTCGGGGCGAGCGCCCACACACACTCCCCTCGCCACGAGGCCATTTCTATCGGCCGATGAAAGCTCCCCAAAGGCAGAGTCACCAGCCGCTTGGGGAGCTTCCATTGCCTGAAAGACACTGCCTCATGGCGAGGGGAGTGTGCGTGGGTGCTCCTGTCAGGAGTGCCCCGCGGGCAGCCACAGCTCGACTTGAAGCGGCTGGTGACTCTGCCTTCGGGGAGCTTTCTTCGGCCGATAGAAATGACCTCATGGCGAGGGGAGTGTGCGTGGGCGCTCACCCTGAGGCCGTTTCTATCGGTCGATCGAAGTGGCTGGTGACTGCCCTTGGGGAGCTTCCATCACCCGAAAGACACTGCCTCATGGCGAGGTGAAGTGGCTGGTGACTCTGCCTTTGGGGAGCTTTCATCGGCCGATAGAAATGGCCTTGTGGAGAGGTACGTGCTCATGGGGCGCTCTAGGTGGGGGAGGAAATTAAGTCACCCCCCAAAAAGACGGTCCAGCCATTTTTTCGGGGGTCAAAAAAAAAAAAAGGCCCAGCCTTATTTTGTGAGAAACACGGAACTAGGCGGACAAGAAAGAACTGGAGAGATATATCTTGTGAAGGTTGTTTCTTTTTGGCTTAGCACCATGTCTGAAGCCATCCAATGTAGGTTATCATTACCGCCTGCATGGTCTCTTCCTACAAGGGATTGGCTTTCTCAAGGAAACACCATCTGCCCATTTGTAACAAATGAGTACTGCTGAGAATCCTGCCTGTAGAATGTGTGACATTGGCATTAACTAGTTTTTTTCACCAGATTTGAGGTCAGTTCTTCCAGCTGCATAAAGGGGAAGGAAAATCTCTCAGTGTAGTGTGAGAGAGAGTTCAAATCCAATATCCGTACCACTTGTAACTTTCCCTGCCGGCTTCTCCATTGTCTTTTTGGGGAAGCCTGGAGAAGTTTGCAAAGAGAGACTATATGATCGAAGGGCACTTAACTACCAGTTGTAAATGTGAAACCTTTGCAAAGAGTTTGAAATATGTTCATGTTATTCTCTCTCTCTCTCCCCCCTCCCCCCCCCCCCCCCCCCCCCCCCCCCTCCCCCTCTCTCTCTCTCTCTCTCTCTCTCTCTCTCTCTCTCTCTCTCTCTCTCTCTCTCTCGTGTGTTTTATGAAAGCTGAAAGTGCTTTGTGGGCCATAAGCCACCCATTGTGTGGTTATTATGACTGGGAAAGGTCATTAAATGACCAGTCATAAGTCAAGGGTTATATGGCTGCTCCAAATCATTGAGATTTCATGGGCCATAAACCATCCATTGTGAGACTACTGTGACTTCCAAAGTTCATTAAGTGACCACTCATAAGTCAAGCGCTAAATGATGCTCCAAATTTTTCAGATTATATATGGTTCATATGCTGTATAACACATCCAGAATCAACAGCAAACTATAAGGTATTAAGAGGTAATTAATTTTGGATGTTATGGTGATAACAGGGTTGCTTTGGGTAATGAGTCTGGGGTGGACTTAGATTAATCCAAAATCAATCAACATTTCAAATAGTACATTTTGCCAGAGGTCAACTAAGGATGCACACGGCAACTTTTAAAAAGAATAAACTAAGGGAAATCAATTGCTAGGCTGACATTGATCTAAAATAATAATTCACGAGTGTGCATATTATGTATTATCATGAAAGATGAAGAATTGAACAGGAACAAAGAGGAAATTGCTGGCTCATCTCATGTGTATTTAAAGGATATTTCTGAGCAGCAACCAACACTGGTTTTATTTTCTAAGAATGCCTATTGTGATCCAGAAGCATTCTTGGAAAGAAAGAAAACGCTTGAGATTTTCCCTGTGCTTTTCGGCGTGATGGCTTCCCATGGTGCTATTTTTAATTTTACACATCCTTGAAAATAAAATCAGGTGGAACATGGGACAGACCCCCCCAAGGAGAGCCTGTGAATTTTTATGGAAATTTGGAGCATGAAAATCCCCACATCTGGAGGGTGCCAAAATTAGGGGAAATAGCAATAGCAATAGCACTTAGACTTATATACCATTTTACAGAGCTTTACAGCCCTCTCTAAGCGGTTTATAGAGTCAGGCTCTTGCCCCCAACAATCGGGGTCCTCATTTTACCCACTTCGGAAGGCTGGAAGGCTGAGTCAACCTTGAGCCTGGTGGAATTTGAACTGCCAAATTGCAGGCAGCCATCAGTCAGCAGAAGTAGCTTGCAGTACTGCACTCTAACCACTGCGTCACCATGACTCAAATGTTGAGAAAGGCCTATAGGTCTTAGCATTGTGAAGCGTGAAACGGTATTCATGTAGCCACCAAGAACTGCATCTGAGTAGAATGGAAAATCATGTTTACATTTTTTTTAAAAAAAGGAATGTTATCTGCTATAGTACAGGTTGTCCTTGACTTCTGACCACAACTTAGCCCCAAATTTCTGTTGCTAAGTGAGACAGTGGTTAAGCGAGTTTTGCCCCAATCTACGACCTTCCTTGCCACAGTTGTTAAGTGAATCACTGTGGTGATTTAAGTGAGCCACACGGTTATCAAGTCAATCTGGCTTCCCCATGGACTTGGATTCTCAGAAGGTCGCAAAAGGGGATCATAGGATCCCGGGACACGGAAACGGTCATAAATATGAACCAGTTGCCAATGTGTCTGAATTTTGATCATGTGACCATGGGGATGCCATAATGGTTGTAAGTGTGAAAAATGGTCATAAATCCAGAGGTGGATTGCTGCCGGTTCAGGCGAACTCATAGTTAAGATTCTCCATAGTTCGACGAACCAGCTGGACCCACCCCGCCCATTTTTCAGTCTGTTTCTTGGACCATTTTTCAGGCCAAAAACAACCTGAAAACAGTCCAAAAAACATCCTGAAAATGGCCCCCAAAATGGCCTGAAAATGGTCCAAAAACGGCCTGAAAATGGCCCCAAAATGGCCTGAAAACGGCCCAAAAAACAGCCTGTTTTTTTGGCCGTTTTGGTCATTTTTTTAGGCTGTTTTTTTACTATATTTTGGGCCATTTTCAGGCCATTTTTCTAGCTGTTTTCAGACCATTTTGGGCCATTTTTGGCTGTTTTTCATGCTGTTTTGGGGCCTGGAAAACAGCCATAAAACTGCCAAAAAAGAGGCCAAAAAATGGGTGGGTGGGGCCAGCCAGTGGTGGGATTAGCCCAATCCGGCTGAATCCCAACTCTGCCTTTGAAGCGAGTGGCCGGGAGGTGGGGCTAGGTGTGATGAGTGACATCACCCACCCAATCACATGACCAACTGGCCACGCCTACCCAGCCAGAGAACCAGTTGTTAAGTTATTCAAATCCCACCACTGCATAAATCACTTTTTTTCACTTTGAACGGGCCACTCGATGAACTGTTGTAATTTGAGGATTACCTGTACTGCTACTGAACTGTTGGGAAGGTGTTTGTGTGTGTGTGTGTGTGTGTGTGTGTGTTCCTTATAGCTGCATTTGTGTGTACAGAGCCCACTGGGTTATTTTCTACCTCTACCGAGCAAAACAATTGCCCTTAGTTGCAGCATTTAGATAAAAACTGTGCCATGGCCACATTTTTGATACCGTTTCTCTATAAATGATTGAAATTGCTCCAGTTCCCTCGTTTACCTTTGTGGCAAACCAAATGGGCTTTAGGACCCTCCCTTCCCACCAGGGACCCATGCCAGAAACCAAAACAGATGGTCAAGTGGGGAAAAAAAATAACCTTGGGCTTTGGGGAAAATTTTTAATAGGTTTCCCCCATTTGCCTGATTCTGTATCTAATGCTCTTTGAACTGCCACTGTTCAGTTACAACTCAACAACTTCCATGTATATTTTAATAGGGATTATCAAACACAATTTGCTCAGAAGATGTACCAGTTCTCTACTGCTAATTAACCAAGTTTAAATAATCACAGAGTTCTGGAATAATTGGAAAGAAATCCTGTTCTCTTGCCAGTGCATAATTACTAATTAACAGGAGATAAAATATCTGCATCACAGTCATAGCTGGAAAAATCTGTTAACAGTTAATTAAATTGCGAATAAGGTCCAAAGTGACGTTGGTCAGCAACATTCAGATTTGCAGTTTTACTTGGTAAATTCCCCCACTACAATCAACTTTCTGAATCAGTTATAAGGATGCTAGGAGTAAAAATTGTAAAGTTAATGGCTTTGCTAAGTTTGGTTTAATATACTTATGATAAAAAAATCCTTTGAAGTATATAAATGTTC